ATAGTTATAATGATTAACTAAATTTTGTGTGACCTGACTGTGGCTCCACAATATTTGTATTGTTTCTTTTTGGCTGCTTGCAATATTTTCTCCCTGACCTGGGAGCTCTGAAATTTCGCAGTAATGTTCTTGGCAGTTTTCATTTTGGCATCTCTTTCAGTAGGTGGTTGGTGTATTCTTTCAGTTTCTATTTTACCATCTGGTTCTAGGATATCAAGGCAGTTTACCTTGATAATTTCTTAAAAAGTGATGTCTAGGCTCTTTTTTCTTTTTTTATCATGACTTTCAGGTGGTCCAGTAATCCTTAAATTATCTCTACTTGATGTACTTTCTAGGTCACTTGTTTTTTTCTGATGAGAAATTTTATGTTTTCTTCTATTTTATTTTTTGTTTTTTGACTTTGTTTCTTGATGTCTCTTAAGAATAATTAGCTTCCAGTTGCCCATTTCTAATTTTTAAGGAATATTTTTTCACTGACCTTTTCTGCCTCTTTTTCCATTTCTATAATTCTGCTTTTAAAGGAATTCTCTTTGGTGAATTTTTCTGCCTCTCCCATCACTTGGCCAGTTTTGTAAGATGTTATTTTCCTCAGTTTTTTTTTTATGCCTCTTTTGCCAAGCTGTTGACCTGCTTTTCATAATTTTCTTGTATTGCTCTGTTTTCTTTTCGCAATTTTTTCCTCTAGCTCTCTTATTTTATTATTAAAATCATTTTTGAGCTCTTTTAGGAATTCTTTTTTTTTTAATTTATTTTATTTTATATTTTTTGGTGAGGCAATTGGGGTTAAGTGACTTTCCCAGAGTCACACAGCTAGTGAGTGTTACATGTCTGAGGCTGGATTTGAACTCAGGTCCTCCTGAATCCAGGGCTGGTGCTCTATCCACTGTGCCACCTAACTGCCCCTCTTTTAGAAATTCTTGTTAGGTTTGTATCCAATTCACATTTTTCTTTGAGGCCTTACTTGTGGCTATTTTTGCATGATTATCTTCGTCTGAATTTGTGTCTTGATCTCCCCTGTCACCATAGCAGCTTTTTATGGTTAGGTTCCTTTTGTGTTGTTTGCTCATTTTTCTAGCCTAATTCTTGACTTTTAACTTTATGTTTAAGTTTGGCTCTGCTCCCAGGGTCAGGGGGCACTGTCTCAAGCATCAAGTGTTTTGTGTTGCTGTTTTCAGAGCTAGTTGTAGGGGGTCTGTAAGTTTTTGGTGCTTCCAAGGTGTTCTGATCCAAGGAGAGGTGTGGTCACTGCTCTCCTGGCCCATGCTCTGGTCTTTTCCCAGGAAGAGACTTGCTCCCCTGAAAGTGCAAGTGCTAATACTCTCCTTGACTCTAGAACTGTGACCAAGTTTCCTGCTGTCCTGTACCCACAAGTGCTAGTGCTCCTTTCTGTCCTGGAACGGTGACTTGGGACTGCGTATGAGTAATGGAACGGTATCCTGCACCCATTGACAGCAAAGGGTTCCCTATAATCGCTTTCCGACCAGTTATCCGACTCTGTTATTGTCTCTGTTGCAGTCATCTCCAAAGCCTGCTGATGGTGTTGCCTTTGCTTGTGCTGAACTTGAGGCCAGCCCTCTTGCAGGTGTTACAAACTTCTCCTGCTGAACTCATCAGTTGTCTTGGACTGAAAAAAATGTTTCACCCTGATTTTTTGTTGGCTCTGGCACTCCAGAATTCATTTTGAGGAATTATTTTAAAGTTGTTTGGAGGGGAGAATGTTGGGAGAGTTCAACTGAGTTGCTGCCTGTACTCTCCCATCTTGATCTGTCCCCCTCAAAATATTTTTAAAAACAAATTCTTAATTCTGATCTTAACTCCTATCTATTCTGTTTTTCTCTTTGTTCTAGTTTATATATGTTGTTTTCCCAGTATACTATAAGCTCCTTGAGGGCTAAGACTTTTTGCTTTTTATTTGTATCCTTATTGCTTATCACAAGGCCTGACAACAGAGTAAGCGTTTATGCTTGCTGATTGTGTCCTCTCTGGCTTCTCTGCTTCTGTTCACATTGTCCCCAGTATTTGAAATACCTTCTCCCATTCCCTAGTCATTTTCCATCCATTGGAAGCCTTCCCTTTCAAGGCCTTCTTCAAATTCCAACCTATTTAAGAAATCTTTCTTGATTAATATAGGGAAAAGTGATCATTTTCCTCCTCAGATTTCCTGTAGTACTTTGCCTAACTGACCTTAGAATCTGTAATACACAATATTTTGTTGTAGTGGTTCAGTTATGGCCGACTCTTCGTGACCCCTGAACCGTAGCGCGCCAGGCCCTTTTATCCTCTACTGTTTCCTAAAGTCTCTCTAAACTCATGTTCATTGCTTCCGTGACACTATCTTTCCATTCATCCTTTGCCACCCTCTTTTCCTTTTGCCCTCAGTCTTTCCCAACATCAGTATCTTTTCTAATGAGTCCTGTCTTATTATGTGGCTAAAGTATTTAAGTTTCAGCTTCAGTGTTTCTTCTTCCAAAGAACAGTCTGAAATAGTATAAGTCTTGACTGTTTTCATCTCCTTGCTATCCAAGGAACTCTCAGAAATCTTTTCTAGCACCACAGTTCAAAAGCATTGATTCTGTGGTGCTCAGCTTTCTTTACAGTTCAGCTCTCACAGCCATACATTGATACTGGAAAAACCATAGCTTTGACTATATGAACCTTTGTCAGCAAGGTGATATCTCTGCTTTGTAGTATGCTATCCAGATTTGCTGTAACTTTCCTTCCAAGGAACAAGTATCTTTTAATTTCAAGGCTTCAGTCACCATCTGTAGTGATGAGCCCAAGAATATAAAATGTGACACTGCTTCCATTCCTTCTTCCTCTTTTCTTCCAGGAAATGATGGGACCAGTTGCCAAGAACTTGGTTTTTTTGATGTTAAGCTTCAAGCTAGCTTTTATACTCATCTCTTTTGACCTGCTTTACTTTCTGCCATCACAGGGTTATTGTCTGCATATCTGAGATTGTTGATATTTCTCCTAACAGTCTTAATTCCAGCTGTTGATTCATCTAGCCTGGCATTTTACATGAAAGTTAAATAAATAAGGTGATAATATTCATTCTTGTTATATTCCTTTTCCAGTCTTAAATCAATCAGTTCTTAGTCCTATGTTTCTGTATCTTTTAAGTCTATTATTTCTTATTTAATTTGTTTCTCATGTCTCTCCTCACTCCAGTCCATCCTCCACTCAATTGTCAAATTGATCTTTCTAAAGAACAGCTTCAGTAAATTCTAGTGGCTTTTTATTACCTTCAGGATCAAATATAAAATCCTCTTATTTTTAAAGCCCTTAATAATGTGAGCCCTTCCTACCTTTTTTCAGTTTTCTTATGCCTTATTCTCTTCTGTATTCTCTGTAATCCATCGATGCTGGTCTCCTTGTTCCTAGCACAAGATATGCCATTTCTCCCCTCTGTATTTTCATTAATTGTTCCTTGTGCCTATTACTCTCTCTCTCCTCACCTCTACCTTCTGGTCCTACCAAAAATCCAACCTTTTTTAAGAAGTATTTCCTGGTCCTCCTTAATAATACTAGGGCCTTTCCTCTGTAATTATCTCCCTTTTCCTCCCTGTACATATCGTGTTTGTACATAGTTCTTTGCATGTTGTTTCCCCCATTAATTTGTGAGTTTCTTGAGTTCCCAAACAGGGATGGTTTATGGCTTTCTTGCAATCTCCAGCACTTAACATTTATTTAACCTGGCAGTTAGTAGATACTTAATAAATGCCTGTTAATTTGTTGACTTTTTTTGCTAGTGCTTTTCTCTTATATTCAATGTGTATTGACTATATGCTAAGTCTGTGCCCAGCGAAGGGGGGAAAATAGAGGAAATGAGTGGTTAACTGGAACTAAGAAATAGGTTGATGGACTCAACTCTCCCCTCTTAATCAATCTTGGATTCAGATTTAGGCTCCCAAGGGATATTTAATGATTTTATTAAGACCTTTCTGTCATAGGTAAACTCCAACTTAGCAGAAAAAGTGAGCCACATGAAAGGATAAGAGGAAGAACTGTACTTTTGCCTCAGGTTAAACAACTCCTTGTTTTAGCTTAGTATTGTTGATTTAGCAGAAGGCCTTTGGCAAAAATCCAGTCAAATAGACCAAATAAAGAATTATATCCTTGAGCAGTTCCAGTGAGAGGAAAAAAGTATGATCTGGAAGGATTCAGCTCCTTGGGTTTTAGGGCTTCCATGTAGCCATTAGTGTATGTACTAATAAATAATTGATACATGCTGGCAAATTTGGTACAAGTTACATATTATCCCAGTGCATTTTCTGTGTTGATTTAAAACCAACATGAAACATAAAAAATTTGCTTTAACAAGGCTTAAACATGAATTCTTTTTCCTTTTGAACTTCCAGTTACTCTTATTCTGTGTCTCAAAACATTTCAGAAATGGATAGATATAAAGGAAAAAAAGTATTCTCTTTATATAGGCATACACAGATTTAAAGTACATATGTATTCAATAAGAGGTAACAGAGCAGTTTACCATCATTAATTCCTGCTTCAGAAGGGGAGTGAGGGATTGTATCACAGATAATCCACTGCAGCAGTTATTTGACATTCCATTATGTCGGAATTATTTGCCGAGCAGGGTGGGGAATAATTTGTTTTCTTCTGTATTTTTTGCTTGCTCTGATATTTGTCATGCTAACAAGAGCACATAAAGGTGGAGTTAGATAATCTAGAGATATACTGAGTAGAAAGGGGAATTTAAAATAAGTTTAAATAATGGTAGTGGATAAACCATAACATGGATAATCAAGTCTGTATAATCATATTTTAATACATTTAATGTGAATTACCTTACTTTTGTTATCTACCTTGTTCTCAAGATCTGGGGCTCTTGATGGGTAACAAAATTTTGAGGATTAAATAAGCTGATAGTGACAGCTTTCCATCGTGTTTGATGGTTGATTAAATTTTTTTGTTTGTTTTTATGAAGAAAGCTTAGTATAGCAGTTTTAAGTTCTAATTGTTTTTATTCATTCTTACAGGCTGCTGAATCAGGAATAATCAAAGTTAAAACGATAGCTGCACGAAGCACTGAAATTTTGACAGGTAAATTGTTTACATTAAAAATACAGCGTGAATAATAAGAAAATCTAAGTGTAAAGGCAAAATCTTCTTTTAGAAATAGGATCAGTTACACTGCCCTTTTCCTCAAAATTTGAGGAAAAGTTTTCCCGATGATTTGCTGTACCTAATAATAGAAAATGTATGTAGTCATCACATTACAAGTGAATTATGTTCCAGAAATTCATTTGTAAGTTATTTGGTTGGAATTTAAAGCACATTATAAATGATGATTAGATTTCTAGGCTAGTCTTCAAAATACTGTGGTACCAATGGTACATGAATGCTTGGAACGAAATGGTGGGCTATATTGGTGCAGATATGGGGGAGGAGAAAAGAAAGGGTTTCTTTCTCTTTTCTTGGTACATGCCTGGTCTTAGGCAAAATTTTGGAATAAAGTTTATCTTTGGTATTTTTCCCTCTCCTTATTTTTACTTTCCCCCATTTTCTGATTATCTTTTTTTTCCCTGACTTTCACTACCCTCATCCTGCCCTAAGCTCCCTATTATAGGATCTTACCTACCTCCAAAGCACTATATGCTTTGAAAATATTTGTCTGCCTCCCATCTTCCCTCTCTCCCCCACTAATACTCATTCAATCCATGGAATTGTTTAAGCTTATTACAGTAAAGTGTGAATGATTGATAATCCTACTTTGCTAGAGATTAAGTCATATAAATCTCAAATTTCTGGCAGGATGGTAGAATGAAGGAAACATTTTTAGGTAACGTAGAAGAAGTATTTTTGTGTGTGGATGTTTCTTAGAAGCAAAACCCTGACAGAGTTGTGAGGCCCAGGGGCTGCTTTTTCACGCCTTCATTCCTTTATTCAATTCTGAACCTTCACAGTTTCCTAATAGCTAAGTATGTTTGCTATAATTCTTATGGGAATATTGGTGGGAGAGGAAAAGGAGAAGAAGCTGAGATCAAGGGACTGTCTGTAGTCAGTCATATTTGAATATAATAATGGATGTTTTCCCTTGTTCCTGTTGTTTTTTATATCCTACAGGAGTGTTCATTTTAAATGTAAATGGTTTTATTTCAGTAAAGATGGAACCCTTTCTTTAATTGATATTTATCTGACAGATTTTTTAACACATGTATCTTTTTCTCCCCAATCCTCTCATAACTATAGGGCTTGTTACTATCCAGAAAGGCCAAAAAGTTTTTTTGTGTTTAAAGTGACTCCTCTTGTAGCCTAGGAAATAGTAGTAGCATTCAGCCTCGTTTCTTTTGGCACTGAAGAAGGATTCTTTTATTTATACCTCTGTCCCTTTAGACATTTTCCTTTAATGCCACCTTTATTTTTTCTTTGTTTTCATTGCTCTCATGAATGCTGACATAAGTGGGAATGCTATGCCAGGTAATGTCAGCGGTGACAAATACATAAGATTCAGAACTGAGAAAAATTTCTTCTTCTATTTGGAAATATAATAACACAGAGAAATAATAGTTTAAGCATATTTCATATATGAGACCAAATTTCTTGACCCTACATTTACCTACAGATTTTGTTTTCGTAATCACAATTTGCCTTAGGAGGTGAAAGAAGAATTTTGAATGACTTAATTGCATTTTATTAAAAAGCATAGTATAGAGAAGATGTCTTTAACAGTTGTGATAATTTTAGTGATAAATATATACAAATTATTTTCTCATTACAAAAGATAATTTTTGTTTGACTTATTTAGTATATTTTAATACTTCAGTATAATTTCAATAAAGTGTTTTTTAATACTTTACCAACAACAGTAGGATTCTTCATTTAGCCAGTACTTAATTGATCAGCTATTTATTCCCTGTGCTTGGCTCTATTTGGGTGGGGAAGGGAGGTGGACTTCAAAAAGGGATAATATTTGTTATTTGCTCTTAAGAATAGTGTCATACACACAGGAAAGGTTAAAGAACAAATCAATAGTTTCATATACTAGTACAAGAGATGTTAAGAGGTAATAGATGAATAAGGTCAAAATAAGTTGTAAGTGGTATTAGTTTAGAGGAGGGAGAGAATTTGGAGAAGCCCACTGTCAAATTTTTCCCTCCCTATCATCAGAAGCCATACCTATATTCTAGCTGGGATTTTATGAGTTGTCAAGTCCTCCAAATTCCGTTGGGAGCATACTTAATACTTTTCTAACCTATGGCTGACAATTTACATAATATTCATATCTGAAAAAATATTTCCCTCTTAACCATCTGTTTCACTCAACCCTGTTACTTTTTTTCCTCATGTCTTTTCATGAATATTGACATAAGTGAGAATGCTATGGCAAGTAATGCCAGCATTGAAAATCTGGAAAATCCAATAAGTAGCAATAAAAGCATATTTTAATTTTCATGACCATCTCATCATTCCTCTTGCCCCAGTGGACTTTGAACTACATGAAGTCAAATTGTTGCTTCGATTTTATATGTATCCCCAGTACCTTTTACAGTGCATGAAGCATAGTGGATGCTTAATAAATTTTTTATTTGCATCTCAAACCCATCAGTAATTATTTCTCATGGAAGATTGTTTTGGGAATTGGCATTCTAGACTAAATTTACGTGAACTTATTGTTATCGCCAAGCATAATCTAAAATTGGATGTGCTAGGTTGTGAATCATGACTAGCTAAATTCCTTTATCTTCTGCAATTTCTTTTATTGACAACCCTCCAATTGAGTCTTTACTGGTGGCATTTCATGAACATATCAGTGTTTTCTATAAATTAAGGTAAATTTTTGAGAATGATTTTTCTGTGACAGGAATTTGACTTTAAAAAGATGACAAACTCAAATTAAAGTATTTTTGTGTGACTTAAAATCTCTGTGGCTTTTTCAAAAATAATTTTCTCCAGGAAACTCCAAACTGGGTCATTATAATTATACAATATCCATTTTCTTTTTTGTTCTTGTTCTGTTTGTTTATGTTGTTGAAGTTGTGTATTTTTGGTTTTGTTTGCCTTTTTCTTAATCAGTTCATACAAGACTTTCCATATTTTTCTCAATTCTTAATGTTTGTTACCTCTTATAGTGCAGCAGTATTTGATTACATTTATGTACCGTGATTTGTTTATAACCATTCTCCCAATCATCAGCATCTACTTTGAAAACATTTAAATTTTATCCCCATTTGTTATTATCAGTTGGCTGTCTAGTTGAATTGCAAACTCTTTGAGACTAGAGACCATGCATCTTACTAATCCTTTGTATGCTTCCTGTTAATTGGAGTAATGTTTGGATTTGTGATTTCATTGATGTAGAGAACTCCTACATCATTCCTAGTGAGGAAACACCTTCCACCAATGCCAGGCTTCTGAGTGTTGCCTGGAGAAATGATAAGTTGAGTGACTTGCCAGGGGTTACAAGTCAGGATGTAGCAGAAGGGGAACTTGAACCCAGGTCTTCCATCCTTCAGGCCAGCTCGTGCTTGCGCTCTCTCTCTCTCTTTCTCTTTCTCTTTCTTTCTTTTCCCTTCTCTTCCCCTCCCTCCCTTTCTCTCTCCCTTTCTCTCTCTCTCTCTGTCTCTCTCTGTCTTTGTTATCACAGGTTTAAAGATGGAAGGAACTGTTGGAAGTCATCTAATATCAGTCCTTTTATCTTAGACTTGAGGAAACTGAGGCCTCGAGGGGATAAATGACTTGGCCAAGGGGCAGATGAAGATTTGAACCTGAGTCCTCTTATTCCAAATCTCTTTTCCTTGCTCTGTGCTTTTTTCGCAACAACCCTTTGAGATATCTAGATACGATAAGGATTATCGTTTCCATTTTACGATGAGGAAACAGACTTATCTGTTAAGTGATTTGCCCATTTGAACAAAATTAGGATATAAATATATATTAGAGCCTAGACTTGAACCCAGAAAATTTTAAAATCAAGAGTAAATAATTAATCCTTGAGTCCCTGCTATGTACTCAGCACTGTTAGGCAGTATCACTGATACCATAAGAAACCAAATAAAGTAAAATGCTTCACTAAAAATGATACAAAAAGACTAATACCAATCTTAATTACCATAAACATAGGTTCCCTAACCCAACTCTATATTACTGTTATGAGTTGAGCCTTGAAAGTACATTGTGTTATTTTTGAAAGCTTTAGGGGTAGGGAAAACATAGATTTCTTGTCCACAGATCATGGATAATTTCTGGTCAGAGAATCCGAGTTCAATCTTGGCTATGCTGTTCTATAACTTTAGCAGATGACTTTAACCTCTTTGGTCCTCAGTTTTTTCATCTGTAAAGCTGAAGCGTTGGATCACCTCCTGTGTATATTTATTTATATTTTGTATGTGTTTTTATATGTGAGTAATGATGTTAGAATATAAGTTCATGGGGGCAGGGACAATTTCATTTTTGTATTCCGGTACTGCCCACAGTGGGGCACTTAGGTGGCTTGGTGGATACAGCACCAGGCCTGGAGTCAGGAAGACTCATTTTCCTGAGTTCAAATCTGGCCTCAGATACTTACTAGTTGTATGACCCTTGGCAAGTCATCACTTTACCCTGTTTGCCTCAGTTTCCTCATCTGTCAAATGAGCCGGAGAAGGAAATGACAAACCCCTCCAGTATCCTTGCCAAGAAAACCCCAAATGGGGTCACGAAGAGTCGGACAAGACTGACTGAAAATGACTGAGTAGCAGCAAAACACTGCCCCCAGTGCCTGGCACATAGTAGATTTTCTTGTGACTAAAGGCCATTGCATTTTCTTGGATTGGGTTGGACTTTTCTTACTCCTGGATACCGCAGGAAAGAGTTCTTTAAAGATTGTAGTGCCCTGGGTTACAATTAACCACCGTGTTACTAGACCAGCATTTTATAATCATGAGTAGTGACCTAAAGTTGGAATCTTCTTCTACTTCAGATGGTCATAATAATTTAATATTTCAAAGATCTCTGATTTATTTGATGTAGGGGCTCCCTCCACTAGTGAAAGTTGCAACTCTTTTGCAATTTAAGTCTTTGTAATTTGGTTTGGTTGAAAAAATTTATCACCCTGTGACTAA